GTGCTCCTCTAGAGGATTACTGGTATTTGGTGGGGATATGTTATTTTGGTTTTTCATGTTATTATTTTTTCTCTGTGATTTTGACATGCGAATTACTTTCATAGTTTCTGATTCTTGTGTGAGACTCAGGCCTTCAAGTTTAGGTTTGCTGCTTTTTGTGAACTTTATATGTCTTTGTGGTTTACTTTTTGGGCATGAGAAACTGGTTCCTCTAAGCTTCCAGTTCTTTCTTTTGATTTTATATTGGAGTGGCCAGATTGATTTTGTCTTCAGGAGTTCCCAGAGAGGCCCGACTCAGATGAGGATGAGACTCTCTCAGGTGCTCTCCTAAGGTCTGGATCCCTCCAGGAATGATTTTGGCCTCAGGAATTTGGGGGTTGGACTGGCCTGGGAGCCCAGCCCAGGAAAGATGCTAGTCTAGGGCAGCTGGTGGCAGTGCCACCCAGGGATGCAAAGGAAGATGGGGGTGGGAAGTAGCCCCAAGGTCTCCTGGGGACTGCACTGAGGAGCTGGGTTGGTCTGGATGCAAAGGATCAGGAAGCTGAAAGGTCAGTCCTGGTGTCCAGGAGAGAGGCCTGTGGGTCCTGCAGGCCCAGGGAAGCAGAGGGAGGTGAGGGCAGGCCAGGCCCAGAAGCAGTGCTCCTGGGGACCTGAGAAGGAACTGAGTTGGTCTGGATGCAAAGATCAGGAAGCAGTGATGGTTTCCCAGGTTTCTGGGGCGCCAAGACAAAGAATGGACGGGACCCAGACTAGGAGGAGAGACCGGTGGGGGAGATGGGAGGGTGAATGAGGCTGGGCAAGGAGGGCGAGACTGACTTACCTTGGAGAGAAAGGCCTGAGGGTTGGAGAGAGGGCAAAATCCAATTTTAGCATTCGTGAATACTAAAATTAATGGGCAAGTTTCTCAGCAGAAATAAGGTATTTGTACTATCTTGAGATCCTTCCTCTAGGAGTTTTGAAATACATGAAACTCGCAAACTATCATATGACTGAAAACAAAGTAACATTTAAGGTGCTGCCAAGGGTTCTTCTAATTGTGAAACTTATGAGCAATGAATAAACTTTTTTGGCCAAACTGTCATTGCCACATACAGCTGAAAAAGAATTATTTATTATATCTACTGAAGGAGTTAACAGTATCTTGTAATGCTATGACATAAAAATATTGCTTGTTGTAAGTGTCATAAAATTCAAATAACTCAACCCTTGAGTTATTTTCCTAATTCCTGCCTTTTAAAATTATTTTTATTTATTGTATGTATGAGTATATTGCCTGCATGTAAATAAGTGTACCCATGTCGCTATGCAATGTCCTCCGAGGTCAGAAGAGGGTGTCTGATTCCCCTGGAACTGGAGATACAGGCCGTTGTTAGTAACCATGTGGGTGCTGGGAATCAATACTGCATCCTCTGCAAGAGCAGCTGGTGCTCTTAACCATTGGGCCATCTCTCCAGCTCCCCTAATTACTATCTTTTAATACATTCTATGGATATGAAAGTAGCATATCCTCAAATATTTCCAGATTTACATTGCTTGCTCCTCAACATTGTGAATTCATGATCTCTTATTTCTGTCTGCCATGTCATTGGCTAAGAGTACCAGATATTTCAATTAAAAAAATATTGCCAAAGAAGATACTAAGCCTTTCAAATACTTACTTACATACTTTTCTATCATAGCTACCATATGTTGAAACTGTGTTGAAAATTCCAATCTGTTGGGATCTATAAAGAAGTTTGTAGGGAATTCTGAAAATCTGAGAAAATAGAATAAAAGTATATTTTAAGAGAATATGGTATCCACCAAATATAATTATAAAAGAAAGTCAAATACTTACCTATCATAGATATATCTATTCTCAGACTCAGTGATTTCTGTGTCTATTGGAATCCATTGAAAGAAAGAGAAAATAAAAGTTGATTGATATTTACAAATCTAAGTAAGAACTTAATATATGTTAGTGTTTTCGAAATATCCTGAGAATATAGAGGTTGGCTGAAAGGGAGTATCCCAGCAACATATCCCAGACCCTGGTCCTGAGAAAAGTCTGAGAGTCCAAAAATGTGTTATTTTTCTTTTTTTTGCAGAGCTTGGAATTACACCAGGGCCTCACACATGCTAGGCAAGCACTCTACACTGAGTGGTACCTCCATTCAAGAATGCATTTTTGACAAACATTTCAGGGGGTGTTCATACTGATAAGGAAGCCATAAGCTCCTCAATGACAGGCTGCACATGCTTCAAGATGAAAACAAATAGTGTTACATGTGCCATGTGCCACAAGGATCTAAAATCTCACAGGTCACTTTTTAAAAAATCAGTTTACATTAGCATTTATGAAAGTTATGATACAAAGGTTGATAGTATGTAAACTTAAATTTTTCTTTCACTTATTATTTCCAACTGCCAAGATACTTCTCTGTCTTACCTGAAAGAATATGTCTAAGGATGGAACTAAATTTGTTTCGTTCATTGTATTTTATGAGTAGATCATCACTTGAGGTTTTTACACAGGTGTTTGCATTTACTGACATTTCATGTTCTTCACATGCTGTGCACTCTTCAGAGCCCCGGTGGGATTTAGGAATGTATTCTTCAAAACTCTCATTAGAATCATCTTCAACAGGAATTCTCAAACATAGATTTACCTCAAAGATTGGTGCATATGTTTTTTTCAAGTCTATCTCCACTTTAAAACTATTTAAAATCTAATTAAAAAGAAAACATGTTGGTATGCCAGTAACATTAAATTTGTGATAATAAAATTTAAATAGGGTCATAAATTATATTTGCATATGAAAATAAATAAAATTAAATGTAAAATTAATGTCAATGAAACATTTGAGATAGCCATTCTTACAGCTTTTTACAAAGTGAAAGGGGTGTGTTTTTGTGTATGTGTGTGATGGCAAATAATTACATGAATCATTAATTGCATTTTTATTTATTTATTTTTGTATTATGTGTATGAGTGTTATGCCTGCGTGTAGGTAAGTGTACCCATGCCATGCAATGCCCACAGAAGCCAGAAGAGGGTGTCAGATCCTGCCAGAACTGAAGTTATGGATGATTATTACCTGCCATGTGGGTGCTGGGAATCGAACCTGGGTCCTCTGCAAGTGCAGCCAGTGCTCTTAACTGGTGAGCCATCTCTCCAGCCCCATTAATTGCATTTTAAACACAGAAAAAAACTATGTTATATAAGAATTTGTGCTTATATTCTTCAAAATACATCTTACCTCATTTATATCTGTGTCTGTTCTCAGTCCTGATTTATCAGTAGAAAGAACATGTAAGTTTGAATTAAAGAGTTCTTGACAGTTGTTCGTCACCTCTCCAAAAATGTCCTTCAATGTTCTAGAGGAAGAAACAGGGAGGAATTTGTTTTTTATAATTATATAGCTTACTACTTGATATGAAAATATACAAATGATGCCTATAGCTCAACAAGAAACACAGGACAGCTGAAAATGGGGAAGGGTGTCAGGCGCACACCTTTAATCCAGCACTCAGGAGGCAGAGGCAGGTGGATATCTGTGAGGCTGAGACCAGCCTGGTTTAACACAGCGAGCTCCAGGCAGGCTGGGGATAGGGAGACCCTGTCAAAGATAAATAAATAAATAAAACAAATAGAGATAGATAGAGAGATAGATAGATAGATACAGAGATACATAGATAGATAAAATAAAAATGGGCAAAGGGCTTGGGAGATGGTTTAGTCAGTAAAGAGCTTGCCTTGGAAGTGTGAAGAGCTGAGTTCAGGGCACCAGAATCCACATAAAAAGCAAGGCGTGGTGGCACACACCTGTAACTCCAGCAATAGCAAAGGCAGAAAGAAAAGATCCCCCGGAAGCTTGCAGGCCAGTCGGTCTGGCTTATGTAGTCAAGTTCCAGGTCAATAAAAGATGTTTTCTCACACAAAATGGTGGAAGGCACCTAAAGACAAGTATCTGAAGTTGTCCTCTGACCTCCATATGTAGGTGCCATGCATGTGTATGCCTACACCCATACACATACCCACATCCACAGCCAAACACATGTATACACACAAGTAAGGGAGGAAAAAAGATATGACTGGATCTTTGCCCCAAAGTTGAACAAACAAATGGTAAGAACAAGAAAGATACTTAAAACCACTAATAATTAGGGAAATACAAATCAAAATCGGAAGAGAGCATCTTACACTCACTGGATTGGATAAATGTTAGTGAGGACGTTAGAACCCTAGCACATTCCTGGTACCAACTAAACTGATGCAAGCCTCATGCAGTACTGTAGGGCAGGTCCTTGAAATGCTCAATGTGGAATTATATTATCCTGGAATTCTAGTATAGACTTTAAAGAATTGAAACCAAGTACTCAGCAGATACTCCACACCCATGTTCATAGCTGTATTCTAATAACAGCCAAAAGGTGAAAAACAACTCCAAAGGTCACTGGAGAAACATAACATGCTACATATAGACAATAGATTACTTAGTCTTGAAAGTGAATGGAAATCTGATACATGTTTCAACATAGATGAACCATAAAGATACTGTAAGTGAAATAAGCCAGATAAAAATGGGAATATTTCTGATTCCAATTATATGAGGTACTTAGAATTGATAAATTGCCATGGCTACACAGGTGAGGGCAATGTGAAGCTATAGTTAATGGAAATGGAGCTTCAGAGATCAGGAAAAAGTTCTGGAAATGGATGGTGGTGATGGCCTTATCACATCATGAAAGTACTTAGTATCACTGAAGAACACACTTCAGATGATAAATTTTATGTTATACATATTTCAGTGTAATAAAAAGTGACACCTTCAGGGGTTGGCATGATGGCTCAGTGGTTAAGAGCACTGGCTGTTCTTGCAGAAGACCTGGGTTCAAATCCCAGCACCCACATGGCAGCTAACAACCATCCGTAACTTTAGTTCCAGAGGATCCAACGCCCTCTTCTGTCCTCTTTAGGCACTGTACAACATGGGTACACTCACATACATGCAAGCATAATGCTCATACACATCAAAAGTAAATTAATTAAAAGATGACACCTTTAGTCTTAAAGGGGGGGAATAGAGAAGAAAAGCATTTTATGGAGAACACACATTAATAAAGAAATTTGGGGGTGCTGGGGATTGAACCAAGAGCCTAATTTGTTCTAAGCATATAATCTATGATTAAGCTACACTCTCTGCCACTACTGAACATAGTTTTAATCACTGTTGTCAGGAAGAGAGAGAAATAAGAAACAAACTGAAAAAGAGAACTATAAACCATGGAGGCTGAGGGCCTGTGCTTGGAAAGAAGAGACAAATATACCCAGAAAAATCTAATCCTGTCCAAATAGATACAAATTAGAAAAAATAGGAGAACAGAAAAAGATCAAAACTAGCAAAAAGTAAAGTCAACAGAGGCATACACATAATTTAAGGTACAAACTCATGCAGATCAATTATCAAATGTATACAGTCTTGATCTCCTTTCCAAGTGACAGAAACTGGCTGGCTGGTTTAAAAAGCAAAATCAAGTTGGCTGGGCACGGTGGCACATGACTTTAATCCCAGCACTCGGGAGGCAGAGGCAGATGGATATCTGTGAGATCGAGGCTAGCTGGGACTACAAGGAGATCCTGTCTCAATACAACCACTGGATGGGCTGCCTAGACTCCGGTGGATGCATTTACACTGAAGGACATTTGGGTACAAACACCAATATGACTCAGTATGCATGGCAGAGTGCATAGGGTTTGGTGGGGGGACAGGAAGAGGCATGGATGGGGGAGGGGATCTGGATTTGAGTGGGAAATGAAATTTGAAAAGCTCAACAAAAAATTAAAAAAAAAATCAAGTCATCAATGACATAAATAGAGGCACTGTTTCCTTAGTTTTGCCAAATCTCCCAAAAGAAAGGAACAGAGGAACCAACTCTAGAGCAGAGGCAATAAGACCCAACTCTTCTGACGGTTTCAGGATCTGCGAGGGATCTGAAGTTGCCAACAAACACTCTCCTTTGAAAAGAAAGGGCCCATATGAGTGGAGGCCAACACAAGCGGATCTGAGAACCTTAGACTGGCTCAGGTCCTTGTGCTCACAATTTCTGATGCATGAAGAAAAGGTAAGGAATTTAGAAGCAGGGAGATTCAGGAACTGTTAAAAAATATGTCCTCAAATATCTCCAGTAAATATCTGCTACTGGAGAACAGCCTCAGTCTGAAGAAACACCACTGGGGACAAAATCCATACTGGACAGGATGGGAATAGTAGATCCAGACAGCAAGCTTCAGATACTGGGGCTGGAAAAAGGGCAGAAGGAGGCAGATCCCAGAAACCATCCAACATTGAAGGCTCAGGGAAGCCAAGAAAACAGGAAAAGAGGCTTCAGGAAGTCTTCCTGATGCAGTTCAGTCTTCAGAGGTAAAGGCAGTGGCTTCAAGACGGTTATTAACACTGAAACCAAAAGCTGGTTGCTTATAGACAAACCTTAAAAAAAGATAAAGAACTTAAGTAATTAAAATTTGGAATAAAAAAAGAAATCATTAATTTTACAGAAATACAAAGAATATAACATAGATACAAAGAATACAGATACTGTAAACACCTGACCTGCCATTTAAAAAGCTTAGGTGAAATGAACATTCCAGAAAAGCACAAATTACCAGAATGTCGAAAACAGAAAAAATATGAATAGATCCATAGCAAACAAAGCAAACCGAACTAATAACGGCAATCCCCTACAAACAAAAGTCTAGTCTTAGGCTCGGTCAATTTTGTGCTACTATAAACAGAGTATTTGGTACTGGGGGAGGGTAACAATTTAAAAAGAACAGCTCTAGAGGCTGAAAATTCTACATCTGATAAGGATTTTCTTGTTTCATCATCTCATAGTGGAAGGTGTAAGGGAGAAAGGGAGGGAAGGAGGAGGAAGGGAGGGGAGAGATGGGGGAAGGGATGTAAGAAAACACTGGA